GTGCAGGCAGGTGGACCAGGGTAGGGACAGCAATGCAGGCAGGAGGACTGCGGTGGGGACAGCAGTGCAGGCAGGAGGAGGACCAAGGTGGGGACGAGAGCGGGCAGGAGGAGGAGCAGGGTGGGGCCGGCAGTGCAGGCAGGAGGACGAGCGGCCACCATCCCTCTGGGCTGCCTGGTGGGGCTGGTTGTTCCTAGCCCGGCACAGACGATGCCCAGCCCAGAGGAGACAGCGGGGGAGATGCCTGAAGGTCCCTGGGGATTCTTGCTCGCCCTTCCCCTCCGAACCAATGCCCTCCAGCCATGCCGGCTTCTCTGCCCCCCCAGAACTGCCTCGGGGGCTGCCTGCAGTTGGCATTCCTTAAGGAAGGAGCGATATTTTGTTGCCCACCAAAGCCTGTTGGCCACGGGACCTTCCTGGCGAGTAATGTGGGTGCCCAACACCCCACCTTGTGCCTTCACCGCTGCCAGACCACGGTGCTGCCCGCACGTTTTGGGGCTGAATCAGCTGTCTGCAGGCAGATCTCTGCCCGGGCACTCAGGACAGGCAGGGTTCCCGCGGCGCCGTGGGGGCTGTGGCTTTCCTGCGAGTGCCCTAACTCTCCTTTCGGTGTCCCAGCTATTATTTTCCAGCGCATTAGCTGGATTAATCCGTTGCGGTTTACACAGGAGATCATGACTGGAAGGAATAAATTATGGTATTTTATGACCAAATACTTTGCCTGAAGCCGACAGTTGCTGGCTTTCAGTGCTGACTTTTATTGTACAATACTGCCAGATCCAAAAAGCCTGTACAATTAATTTCTCCAAGCACTGGAAACCTCTTTTCCAGCAAACTTTTATAGAGTTTAGAAGGAGCCTACTTGCTTTGAAGGGCTGGAGGATTGCTTGGGGTAAAACTCTTCCAGGGCAGGACGTGGCAATCAAGCCCAGTGGTGGTATTTTACTTAAAATGTTGAATTGCAAGCGGTGGTTGTAACGTCAGATTTTCATCTTCCTGGTCCCTTCTCCTTCTCCTGCTTTGGCAGATTTCCAGTCGTGTCTGATATGCATCGCGAGACGATTACCTCGACCGGCAGCCGTCACCCCTTCCGAATCCTTCGTGACCAAGCAAGACACCACAGGTAACGTCCCAGTGATGCCGGGGAGTCCTGGCTCCAGAGGATTCGTTGTCCCTGGGGGTCAGAGGCCAGCGGTGTAGCGCAGGACCCCATAGCATGAGTGTGGTCCTGTCCTTTGCAAACGGACAGGCTGGCTGCTGGGACCGAGGTGGTTGACAGCTCAACTGGAGGCACCTCAACTGAGTTTACACCTCAGCTGATCCGATACACCAGACCCGTGCCCTGCACGCAGCCCCTCTCTGCTCCCTTGGATTTCGGGGGCCGTTGAGTCGCTGATTGATGGGAATGAAAAAGTTTCAGATTCAGGTTTGCTCTTGGCTGATTGTCACTTTCTAGCCATTCTGGTGACCTCCTTTCTGGTAGTTAACCATCACGTTGGACTTCCCAGCGGCCTGAAAATCCTTTATGAACGTTTTTGCTCCTCGCTGCTCCCCGTCCACGGCTGTAAAACAGCCAGCAAAGCTGCCTGGTGTTTCATGTCTAGGGAGAAAGCGGGCAGCAGGTCCTGCTTGGAGGACCTCCAGGTGTGGGCAGGGTGGCTGGCAGGGTGTCCCACTGGGTGTGAACCTGGGGACCCCAGCCCTGGAGCGGCGAGGGTCCCTTCACACGAAGGTGCTTCTTGTTGGGTTCCGTGTCCGCTTCGGCCGGCCAAGCTGTGCGTAGAGGTCGGTGCGTGCTCCAGAACAAACTCCTTGAACCTCCACCTCCTTCTGAAGGACCTCCTTGTGTGCTCCTGCCACTGCTGCCTGACGCAGCAAATGGGATGTGGCTTCATTTTCCACATTTATGGATCTGTTTGTGCCGAGGGACTTTATCAGAGAATCATCACAGAGGGGTTTGGGTGGGAAGGGACCTTAAAGACCATCCAGTCCCAACCCCCTGCCATGGGCAGGGACACCTCCCACCAGACCAGGGTGCTCCCAGCCCCATCCAGCCTGGCCTTGAGCCCTGCCAGGGATGGGGGATCCACAGCTTCTCTGGGCAACCTGGGCCAGGGTCTCACCACCCTCCCAGGGAAGAATTTCTTCATCACACCTGATCTAAATCTCCCCTTTTTCAGTTCAAAACCGTTACCCCTCGTCCTCTCACCACACTCCCTGACTTCTCATGAGTAACGTGGCTTCTCTCTCGCCACCCAGGTAAAATCATCTCCATTGACACCAGTTCCCTGAGAGCTGCCGGCAGGACGGGCTGGGAGGATTTGGTGCGGAAATGCATCTACGCTTTCTTCCAGCCGCAGGGCCGAGAGCCATCTTACGCCAAACAGCTCTTTCAAGAAGGTAACGGGCTCCTCTTCCTCGCTGCTGTGCTCTCCTGCCGAGCAGCGGGAGCTGCAAGGAGAAGCCGAGGCACGGCCCTCCTTGCTGGATAAGCGCTTTCTGCAAAACCGAATAATAATCACCAAGTGCCGAAGGGAGAGGGGAAGGGGCTGAGGAACGCTGGAGGAGCTTCTCCAGCCGGGATGTTTCCGCTCACGTTTTGGGAAATACAGAATTGAGACAAACAGGAGCTAAATATGATTATTTGAACTAATTTTTTTTGTCCTCTGCCATCTGCAAACACCATCCCCACTATCTCAGCAGAAGAAGCAGAAGCTCTTTTGTGAGCGTCTTTGCTCCGTCGGGCTCTTCCATGAGCATCTTTGCTGTGTCGGCGAAGAGGCTCACAAGAGGGATGTGGGGAAGGAAGGGACGTAGGAGCAGGAGGTCGCTCAGCCTCCAGAGAGCTGTAGCTCTGCCAGGGTTGCAGCAGCAGTGTCCTGCTGCCTTTTCCCAGCCTGGCTGGGCTTCATCAGCGTGTACCTTGTGCGCTGGTGGTTGAGTGGTTGCCCCTTTGGAAGCTCTGAGCACTCAAGGATGGTGCTGGGTGGATTTAGATTTGTCCACTGCAGGACACAAGTTTGGAGCTGGAGAAGCAGCTGGGAGGATTTCTGTGCCACCATGGTTTTTCACACCCTCCTTATTTTCTGGGTGTAGGGGGTTAACCAACGTGCAGCACGTGGTTTTGTTTGCTGGGAAGGTGTTGCCCCAGGCGGGTTGTCCCTCGCCTCTGCTCCCTCCATTCTCCTCCTGGTGCTTGTAGGGTGTTGTGGGTTCTGGCTTGAGTTTCTAAGGGGGTTGACGTGTTTCTGGTTGTCTCCTTCAGTGATGACACGCGGCACGGCCTTCAGCCCCTCGTACCGCTTCACCCTGAGCGACGGGACGGTGCTTAGTGCCCACACCAAGTGTAAGCTCTGCTACCCCTCCAGCCCAGAGATGCAGCCCTTCATCATGGGCATCCACGTCATCGACAGGTATGTCCCCGCCTCGCCACTACCGAGCTGTGCCAGTGCCGGGGTGGACTATCCAGGAATCCAAATGCCCCTTCCCTACAGTGGAAAGAGGATCCACTGGTGGTCTGCGGTGCTGGTTTGGAGATGTGATCCCCGTGGGGAATCTGAGGCTGAAAACCAGCGTGATGGCAGCTCTGTTGCTCTTGGTTATTCTTGTTTTGCAAAGAGGTGGCCCCGGGAGTTCAGGTGGAGGTTTATAGACGTGCTTCACATTTCTGCCTTGCCCTGGAGAACTTAAAATATTTGGGGAGGGAGAGGCTCTGACAAACTGGCAGGACAGGGAGAGGTGAGGCTGTGGACCCGGGCTGTGCTGGGGAAACGTAACAGGGCTGGGGTGGTGGGGAATGCTGGTGGAGCATGGTCCTCCTCCAGCCGTGTGGGAACGTAAGATCCAGAGAAGGCGCTGCCTTCGGGGTTTAGCTGGTGAGCGGCTGCGATGCTGAGCAGCGTCACGTTTCTGGAGAGATGCTGAAGCTGCTGCGCTCCATCCAGACTGCTGAAATGGAGCCAGAAGCGCTGGGGGCGCGGGGAAGACTGAGACCACCGGAGCTGGTGATCTGCTGCTCTCCAGGCTTCAGAGCCCTGCCGCACGGGTGGAGGGGGCAGGAGCCGCCTGAGCGCCGCGGAAGGTTGGGGCAAAGCCCCTTGTGACTTCTCCTCTCCTTTCCGTCTCCCGCAGGGATCACGGCATGCTCTCACCCCAGGAGAACACTAACTCCACGATGTCCCTTCCCCGGGTCAGCCCTTCGCTGAACCCCAGCATCTCCCCGGGGCAAGGCATGGCCCTGCCGCCCTCCATCCCTCCCTCCAACGGCAGCATGTTGGCCACCAACGTCTTCGGCCTCCACAACAGCAACTCCAGCACCAGCCAAACCAGCTTTGGATGTTCACCTGGGAACCAGATAGGAGCCAACGTTGCCTTAAGCCAGGGACAAGCCGGTCCCCAGAACAGTAACCACACGTTGAACCTCAATAGCTCCCCCATGAACAGTCCGGGCATTACCCCGCCGCAGTTCATGTCTCCGAGGCATCGGGTCAGCCCAGGGCTGGTGCCCAGACCCCGAGTGCCCAGCAATCCCTTCTCACCCACCATGCCCACCATGCACTCCCCTGTGGGCATGGCCAACAGCGGCAGTGGGGGCAGCTGTGGCACCGGTGGCACCCGACCCTTTCCCAGCGCCCCCATAAACTCTATGCAGGGGTTGACCGAAGGTCCCAGCACGCCGGTGGGCTACTCCACGCCGCCCCCCGTGCTGAGACAGCTCAGCTCCCAGAGCTCGCCCGGCCGCCTCGCCATGCAACCCATGAAAGCCGAGTCCAAGGACAGCAAAGAGATCGCCTCCATCCTGAGCGAGATGATCCAGTCGGACGGTGGTTCGGGGGACAGCAAACCGCTGGACTCGGGCATGTTGCACACCGGCGACAGGCTCTCGGAAGGGGACAGCAAGTGCTCCCAAGCCACCAGCCACAAGCTGGTCCAGCTCCTGGCCACCACGGCGGAGCAGCAGCTTCGACACGCCGACGCGGACACGAGCTGCAAGGATTCGTTAGCTTGCGCGGGCACCGCTGGCACCTTGGCCTCGGGCAACCCTCCCAGTAGCACCTGCCCTTCCTCCCACAGCTCGCTGACCGAGCGGCACAAGATTTTGCATAGACTCCTTCAGGAGGGCAGCCCTTCTGACATTACCACCCTGGCCATGGAGCATGAGAAGAAGGAGAACACCTCGAACCCTACCACCGCCCCCCCGGCTCAGAGCCAGCTGCCGGGCACCCCGGACATCAAACTGGAGCCGGACGCGCTGAAGAAAAAAGATGTCAAGGATCACCAGCTCCTGCGTTATCTGCTGGACAAGGATGAGAAGGAGCTTGCTGCAGCCCCGGCGCTGAGCCTGGATGATGTGAAGGTGAAGGTGGAGAAGACAGAGCAGATGGAGCCCTGTAACACGGCCCCAGCGCCGCTCGCCAAACCTCCTGCCGCAGAGGAGGTCAAGCTGGAGACACAGGGCCAGGTGAGTTGACCCTTGTGCGTCCATGCTGGTGGGATGTTCTGGACAAGTGGTGTTTTGGGGGTGGTTTCCCCCAAACCTGCTGCTGTGCTGCCAGCAGCAAGGTGGTGGGGCTGGGAGAAGTGTGGGGAGA